CCAAACTCTGTGTCTAGCTGAATATTCCTTATTTGAGTGCCCCGATCTCTGTTTTTCTTCCCCTCCTGCTGGGACCGTCAAGGCACAGTCTGAGCAATCACAGCAATCAGTGTTTCCTCGTGCCAACCCAATTGGGAAGTAGCTGCCAAAACAAAAGGCTGAGAGTCCAGTCATTATGATGGTGTGTGATTTGATGGTGTTAGAAAACGGGTGTTTGGACCATCTGTTTAACGGCTGGTGGAGGAAAGCAGCAGCGACTTGGGTCTAGACTGTGGATGGAGAGGCTCCACCAGGACACAGTAAAACCTCTGTTATTGTGGTATCCGAGCAGCTGGTATTTGAAAGTATTTTACAATATGTTTGTACAGAAATGATTTTTAAAGACCTTTACGTGATTTCCCTGGCAATTTGCAAATTTGAAGTTCTGTGTAGCTTTGTTAGACACAACAGGCTGATTTTTAACCCAAGATTAGACAGAAAGGACGTGTGATGGCAGCTGATGGCAGCGGATCTCAGCAAATGTATGAAAGAGTTCAGGCGATTGGTTTTAAGCGAGGTGTTAGTTGAAGGATTTCAGTACTGTGCAGCCAACATCCCTCGAGTGGATGTCTTTATTAGATCTGGTCTGTGTCAGCAATTGTAACAACAGTTCTCTTTTTTGGCTCACTCACACCATTTTTGTCCCGTTCCCCATCAACTCATCTCACAGAACTGTAGCATTCTCAAATGGTTCCCAAGAGATTCCCACACCCACACGTCCTAGTCCTCAATGATGGGTTGAACAATTTCTTCAGTGATTTATAACTCATGTTGGTGTCAGTACTTACACATACAACCCCATTCTAAACAGACGACTTTGGTTACATGACCCCCTCTTTGCTCAAAGAGCCTCTTATTTTGTGTCAACCGATTCAAACAAATACAGAATTTCTTTCACATGAATGTTTTCTTGAGACAATATAAAGAAATGTGGAACTATTCAATTTGCTGCGTGGTTGTCATCTTGATAGAGCAGATACTACATTCGATATGTGAAAAAAAGAATTTAATCTTGAGGGGAAACGATCGATGTGGGCTGCCCTTTCTGTCAACAATGGGTGTAAGGACTGTGATTTTTGTGTCCAGGACATGTAAATCCAGTCCAATGGATCATTTGCTCAGGAAATTATTTCGAAATAACGAGATGCTCTGTTGGCTCCGTAGTTACATGGAAAATGACTTCAGTTCACTGCTACATCGTGTGAGCCATTCACAGCCCTGACCACAATGGAGGTTTAACATTTAGTTTTATGATTTTGAACACCATCAGACTGGGACACTGCTGCCTCACACACACACCAGCACACAGAGGAACTTAACAGTGTTATGTATGGTTTCACTGCTCTGTATAGGCTATAATCACCCTCTCTCCATCTCAGTAAGCTTATGCTAAATGACCAGACGTCTCTTGCGGCTGCCATGATTTGTCTTTCCGCCGAGCATCGTGCCGTAGCTCACCCTCCCTGTCTCTATCTCCTCCCTCCTTCCTTCCACCATATGTTGTGCCTCTGTGACCGGCCGGCGTGTCAGGCCTGACTAACGCCTTAACGGCAAGGCTGACTTTGATTTATTTCCTCTGAAATCTGGGGGCCGAGGGTAATAACACAGAATGACATTATTTGTTTATCAAATCCAAGGCTGCTTTCCTCGGCACAGGCAAGATGTGATGACTTGATACCTGCACCCCACTTGCCATACAGGCACACGACTCCTGATTGTGCCATTATTAGAATGTGTGCCAAGTTGCTTAACCTCATCAGAGGGACTGCCTTTAAAAACTGAAGTGAGGCGCCGTGGAAATGAATGAAAATACAGCGAAAGCAAAGCAAGGTGATTTTTAAGGCAGAAATTTGACTCAGACAATTTACTGGCCAAATGAAGAAAAAACACAGATGGATCATAAACAGTGCTCTAAATACCAGATGACCCATTTAATGAGAGACACTATCTGGAGCTGTCACATGTTTTGCCTCTAAGAACAGGGATGTTTCATCAATTTAAACATCTTTTTAATATGAAATAATCAGCTAATTTCTTTCTGATCATTTAATGAAGCATTTCAACATGTAAAATATATATTTAAGTAATTTTCTTTTTATTTGATATCTGAAAAGTTTGCCTACAACCTTTGTGATGTTATTCCTGCATCTAATTTGGCTATTTGCCTGCTTTTCGGAACATGTTTATTTTCAGACATCACCCTCACCTTCCATTATCAGCTCTGTGAATAGTATCACAAAGAACACAATGCTGCATAGTACTACCCAATAAAAGAGTTAAAGGCAAGGACAATCTCAAAGGCAGCTTGGCTGATAACAAAAGAGCCTCACCTAATAATGACCAACTGGGGTTGGCGTTCTCCAATGCAGGAAACGTGGTGAAGGACGGGGTGGGGGGGTAGAAGCTCCGACAGCTCTTGCCAGCATGTTTTATGGTTAATTGAGGCATTTGGAATAAAACTACTTCAAAATGGCACCCTTTAGAATTGAAGCGGGGTTAATATATAGTGATCCCACAATTAGCCCAGGATTGTTAAGATCTCTTTAATTCTGTGAGGTCCATTAAGCGGGATGGCCGGGAAAGTGCTTCCACAGAGACAAATTTTCTCTCCTCTCTTTGTTCTTTCTGTCCTCTTTTCCTCTCAGCAGCTGCTGTAGTAATCAATATGAATGGACGCGGCCTTCAGCAGGTTGCCAGGTTATTCAGCCCTTTGGGTGCCACAGCTCCTGAGGTTCACCCAAATAAAGATTTTGTTTATGAAATATACAAGAAGCAAGTGGGTTATTGGTAGTAGATTGACTCTGGTGCAGAAACTCTGTACTGTGGTGTAGTCCCTAAGCTGATGAGGGAGGAAAAACAAGCCCTCCTGGACAGAGCTATTAGATAATTTTTTTCTCCTGGGTAGACGTGATCACTGAGGTTTGCTCTTTACCCCAGTTTCACAAATCCCCACTTGGTCTATGAGTGCTTCCACTAGAGCCACAGCAGCAGTTGCTGCCTGACCATTCACGACTTGGGGTTTTACAAGAGTGTCGTTCAGAATATGAGAGTCCTTCCTGAGCTATCTTTTGGGATACAGTGTGTCTATGGAAGCTTGCCAATAGGTGGAGGTTTCTGAAACAGGACTGAAATCACTACATCTGAGCATTCTGTAGACTCACAAATTCCTCCAACACCTTGACGTATTGGAACTTTTTAGGGTCAGCTTTCACCATAACTATTATTACACAGTGGCATTGAATGTTATTTTTATCAAATGGTTTAAGGAGTACGTGTCGAAGTAGACAAAGTAGCATTGATTGGCTAAGCAATCAATGTACAATCAATGGTGGCTGAATAGTTAAAGACCTTTTTGAGTGATGATGATCCCAAATAAAAAACATTATGTGAGGATGTATGTTTGGGCAAAGCCTGGCTCCAGCATTTTCAGTTAATACCTATCTGCTTAGTGCTCAGGTAATGATTTGGGAAGCTGGGAAATGGCAAGCCTTTCAATAGCAGTAGGTTCCAGCACAGTGGATTTTGAATCTTCTTGTAAGTAATTAAACAGCATGGCACCTCATTCAGAACAATTTCCTGCAAGGCATTTGCTTGGTAATGTGGCATGGCCCCAGTCTACATCGTGTTATCTCTGTAAAATATGACCTCTTTATCTTTATTTGAAATGATGACTGTTTGAGTGTTTATGATGTTTAGAGAAATTTAGCTCAGTCAGCATCAGATTAGTATTTTCCTCATTGTTTGCTATCTTACTGAATGAGGAAGATGTTTGATTAATCTATAAATGAATATTAGTTCATTCAAATGAAAAAAGAAAGAAAAACAAATAAATAGATAAATAAAACGCTATCCATGGTGAGTCTGTAATTGTATAAAACCAGTGGGGTAGACAGATGCATGTGGGTGTGCATGTTGGATTCTGAGTTTTCATTGGTGTCTGCGATATTGGTGCTCCCCCACTTGGCTTAATGATGGCCACATGCTGTTACCGCGTGATGACAATCATGCCATGTGTATAAAGGGATTTCCATTTGTTGGGGCGGCCACAGAACCTCCCAGGGTGAAAATACTGGTTATATTTCCCTGTCTTGAAGTGCCCGGGTTTTATTGCCCAAGATTTTACTCTCCTTGTTGTCAGTTGTAGGTGCAAAACACCACCGTTATGCCCACATGCAAACGTGAACACACCCCACCGTCCAGCAAGCAGCACTGATCGCCCTCTTAATATCGATCTAGATGCATTCTCTTTTGTAGTCGTTTTCTCCTGTTCAAGCTTTCCCCTCCAATATCCCTAATAAACTTCCAATTTCACATAATTCACTCAAAATCCGTCTCTATATATTTATTGCTTTTTGTCTCACACACAGTCAGCCTTATTTCCAACCACTGAATAGTCAACTACAACAACCACATGGCTTTTTTTGGTGTTGCAGAGCAGAGCCAAGTGACAAATATGAGCTGTATTTATCACTTTCTGCCCCAAATATCAGCTGTCAATCCAACATTTTGAATATACTACATTTATTTAGCCTTAGGTAGTCATAATTCTCCTTACCTGAGGTTTACTTGCAATCGGCTTGATAGCAAACAATATTCTGATGATTCTGTGGGAAAATACTAAGAAGAGACTACTTCTCTTGCTGTTTTCCTCAACCCATTAAACCCTTCCCTCCTCAAGCCCATCTGCCTTCTTTGCTACTTGTCAGTCCTGGGTAATGGGTTTCTTGTTGGAGATGTTATTTTGGTCCAGTAAGCTACATGCTTAAAGTATGAGTGACAGGCTTGACTCACATGCTCATAAGGAGAATTTTGTTTTCTGAAGGCTGCCACAATAGACTGGACTCTACAGATGCAATAAAAATGCATAAAGCACCCCACTACTGTGGTACTGGCAGTCTGCATGTACCCAAAAGCTACCTTTACCTCCAAATGAGAAATAGATTCCACTTATCTTAACAAAAATGTCCTATTTTTCCCATCTTTCTATTTTCTGTCTTCCTCCTTTCCCCCCTCCTAAGAAGATAGATGAAGAAAATGAGGCCAACTTGCTGGCAGTGCTTACAGAGACCCTGGACAGCATCCCGGTGGATGAGGACGGATTGCCTTCGTTTGAGGCCTTGGCAGATGGGGACGTGACCAATGCCAGTGACCGGAGCTGTCCCTCCTCTCCTGACGGCTCTCCACGCACCCCAGAGCCGGAGGAGCCTTCCTTGGTAATACCAACATCTCCATCCACCCTAGGGTTAAAAGCAAGCTTCTCTCCTCCTTAAGCTTCTGTCCAGTTGCTGCAATGTTCTGAGAAGCTCACTAATGTCCTTGCTACCAGTGTTGTTGCTTGTTTGGTCTTTTGTCTTCCCGGTGTCCATTTGGAGCTCCTGTAGGTTCTCCATCTGGATTGCCCACAAGAAACTGTTTATTTTGTACAGACACAGCAGCTGGTTATATGATTTTTGCCTTTTATTTTTCTCTTTCTCTCTCTGCCCAAAGCATCTTTCTCCTTTCCGGGTTTGTTTTTCTATATTTTTTACCTCTTTTTTCTAAAGTCATCCCATGTCAGGTTTTTTCTGTTGATCTCAGCGAAAACGTACTTCTGTTATGTTCTTTACCGTGCTGGTATTTGTGCTTCTGACCTCACTGTCCACTATTCCATACAGGTACCTTCTAAACGACCTTTAGCTAAATGCCTGCTAGTGTTTATTCAATCACATTAAAGAAGTCTGGTTGTGTGTACACAAAAACACCTGAGCAAGAAGTAAAGCCTTTTTGGTCGTATCTACAATAAACTGCACGTAACTGTCTTTTAGTTATATGTAATTTAATATGATTCTGACTGTAGTAGCTGTTTATGGACTGCATATTCATAAATTGTATATTGTCCAGTTTTATGAAATGTTGCATTTTTTCAATCCCTTTTTTTTTCTGGTTCTGTTTGGGTCCATTTGCAGCTGAAGAAGCTCCTTCTGGCACCTGCAAACTCCCAGCTCAGCTATAATCAATACACAGGTGGCAAGGCACAGAACCATGCAGCCAGCAGCAACCACCGGATCAGACCACCACCTGCCGTCGTCAAGGTAGGGACACACACACACACAAACACACACACGAAGACAAACACACACACACCTAGACTAACACAAAATACATGCACTGCTCTGCTACTTATTCAAGTCCATTTATTTATCTTTCTCTCCCATTGCCTTGTTGTTTATTTAAATCAATTTATTTATCTTTCTCTTTCTGCTCCTGTTCTGTGTTTTTTTTTTTTTTTCTGCCTCACTCCTTGTCATTTTTTTGATGGCCACCTTTAGAAGATGTTAGACTACTGCTACTGCTTTAGCAGTCTACTATCCCAGGAGGCCGTCTTGTAATGAAAACAGGCTGATTGCTGTTGGGCTTTCCAAGCGAGGCATCGGCACTGTTGTCTCATTAGCTCCAACACTTAGACGCCTTGGTATGGTGCCTGTTGGAAAAAAAAAAAGAATAAACAAATAACAGCGACAGACGCTTAACAGTGAGATTGATGCCTTGAGATATCAAGATCAAAATATCACATTTGATGCTCTCATTAGATAAAAACCTTTTCTGTAGGGATTAGGTTGATTAACATATCATATTTGTCAGTGTAAGTATCATAGGTTTGCAAATGTGCATAACCTGAATATGTGATTTATTTAGAATGTGTCAATGTTTATGTGCACTGCCATAAAGAGCATATAGCGTTTGTTTGCTCTTGTTTTGCAAAAATGTCTGAAATCTTCATTTGTTATGCTTTACTGAGTGCATACAATCGGCTAAATGTAAAAAGCATCTGTATCTGCACATATTGTGTGGTAAACACAGCACAGACAGATTTATGTGCGCTCTGCATACTATGCACATTCAGAGCATCAACCTTCCTCACTGAGTCTATTTTCATACCGTGCCTTTGAGTCATCCATTTCTGGAGCAGAGCGAATGAGGACTCCCGGAGGACACGGTGCACGTACAGAGTGGCGCGATGGTGCTTGGGGGGGCCACGCAATTAAGATGATGGGCGGACGGCACTCCCACCATCGCCTCCCAGACACTTGGGCGACTACTCTGTTCAGGCTGTTTGAGTCACTCTGTCAGCCTCTGCCATCTCTTGTCTATTTTTATTTATTTATTTTTTGTCTTGAAGTCTCATTATTTCTCACAATTGGATCAGCTATACAGTTGTATAAACAGCGAGTGACTTTCATCTCAGGAAAACTTACCTGTTTTCTGTTTCTTACTCTTGAACAGACGGAGAGCCCCTGGAATGGCAAAGCAAGGGGGGGCTCAAGTCAACAGAACCGCCCGGTGAGGCGGCCTTGCACTGAACTGCTGAAATACCTAACAGCCACCGATGACATCCTGCTCCACACCAAAGTCAGTGAAGCCAAGGGCACCTGGGGGGGTGCCAGCAGCAGAGACAAGAGTAGCCTGGGTCTTGGTGCTTCATCCTCCTCCTCGTCGCCATCCTCATCTTCTACATCCTCGTTCTCTTCCTTGTCTTCCACCTCTACCTCTTCCTCCACCACCTCCAAGAAGAAGTCAGCTGTGCCATCTCAACAGCAGCAGCAGCCACTGCCGCAGCAGCATCACCAGCGAGGTGAGAGCCGGGCTGCAGGCGACTGTAGTATGGCTGGTGTTGGGGCTGGGAAGTGGCAGCGTTGCTCTCTCCATGATGGGGTTGAGGAGTCGGAAGGTGCCTCTATCCCCGTTGGCCACAGAACCTACACCTGCGGCCATGCCCGCCCCAAACTGGAACACAGGCCGCCAAGTGAAGAAGGAAGGCCGCCAGGCGATGTGGGCCGCCTGGCCGCTGCTAGGTTTATTAGGTATATGCACTCTTATTCCCTCCCTCCCCGAGAGGTGAGTCACAGCTGTGAGCATTGCCGAGAGGCTGCAGGTGCCACTCAGGCTAGTGAGGGCTTTGGCAGGCAAGGCCGTAGTAACAGTCGTGGTGCCAGCCGTGCACCAAACAAGCACATCACAGTGACCGTAAAGAAAAGGAATGAGAAGCCGGGGCATCCTTTACTCAGTCAACTGCTCACCTCCAAACAGAGGCCCACTCAATTTCGGGCCAACATACCCCCACCCAGAATAACCCCTTCATCTAGCACTAAAAATAAACCGGCAGGCAAGACATCTCAGAGCTCAGACCAAGTATTCTCTAAGTTGAGACAGGAGGACGTCAGAGGGACCACTGATCATAGAAAGCAGGACTTAAGTCTGGCAGGGCCTTACTCTGGGCTCCTGTTGCCACCTTTATCCTTAGACCTAGAAAGCTGGGTGAGCCAGCTCGATGCAGGATTAGACTTGGGCTTTGGACTAGAGCTTGAGTGGCAAAACCCCGGGGACAATGGGGAGGATGTTGACCATGATGACGATGGTGTTGATGATGATGATGTCCATGTCATGGGCAGCCCTGCAGCGGTGCTCTCACAGGGCCCACCAAGCCCACTCATCCCAGATACTAGCATTGCAGAGCCTACCCCACCCTGCATCATACAAGGGCAAGGGCACCTACACAGGCAGGCACTCAGCGAGCACCCCGATGACCAGGGCCACCCGTTGTTAGGTAATCATGACTGCATCCCCCCCACTGGCCTTATCTCTGCTCTCTCTTCTCCCTCTCCTGATCTAACCACTTCCAAGTTTGATTTCATTACTAACCCGTATTCTAATTTGAATCTAACAGTCATTCTGAGGACATAAACACCAATGACTGCAAAAAGCCTGCTCGCCAACGCTTTTCGCTAGTCTCCGAAAAAGTTTTGGCAAATTCAACTTATTTTTTACTTTAAAGGAGGGGACGGGAAAAGGGGCGTGCTATTATATACCCTGCATCTTTGGCTTATTGAGCTGAGTGTGCTGACAAGGTACATTTAGACTCTTAAGAGCCCGGGTGCTGCTCTTTAGCATCGTGCTACCAAAGCCACATTCTCTTAGCTGGAGCACAAGTCGGCCAGAGCCTCGGGCAACTGCACAAGCTTCCTTGACTCTCCTTTCTTCCTTCTTTTCCCCCCCTCCTCTGCTGTTGGTGCATGTGGTTATGACTTTATTGTGCAGCAGGGGGCTCACCCACTATCATGTCATGTCTTGTTTGTGGCATTTTCACTATATGTTTTTATTCCATTACAATCTGTTAGTTGTCCTGAGTGCAGTCTGTCTGTGTCTAGATACCTCTGAAACCATCACTCCATGCAGCCTCACAGAGTAAACATTATATCCTTAGAGTTAATTGTTAATATGGGGTCAATTTGAAAACTATTATTTGTATACTATTGTACATAGCAAGGCTTTCTCTTCAGGGATGGGTATTTTTGTAGTGATAATTGCATTTGTTCAGCCAAATTAAGGTTAAATGTTGCAGAATGTGGACCTTTTCTCTTCTGCCATGAGTGTCATACGTAGGTCAATAATTACCCATGCTCCTCTGTGTTCTGCAGCCAAACCAACCACCTTGCCACTTCCTTTGACCCCAGAGTCTCCAAAGTAAGTGTGAGAAGTTTTTCCACATTATTGTAGGCAAAGCAACAATCAACAACGAAAGACAAAGCCAAAACAAAAACCATACAGACTGAAATCCAACTTGAGGCTTTTTTGTGACTCATTTTCATTTCTTATATCACACACGGACATTTCATTACAAATTGTATTTTAAGTAATATTTCCTTTGTTTTTTCTTTTTCTTTTGTCTTCCAGTGACCACAAGGGATCACCGTTTGAGAACAAAACCATTGAACGCACATTAAGTGTGGAGATTGCTGGAACCCCAGGTGAGTGGCCAAAGAACATATTTTTATCATCATGCAAACCACAAGTGCCATTCAGTCTTACTTGCATGCTGTAGCTTGCTGTGGGTTAATGTTAACTCCAACATTTTGATAGCTCTGTCACAGTTCAGAGTTCAAGGTGAAGGCATAAGAGATCGCTTTTATGTGCCCGACTATTGATTAGGCTTTCCAATCTCATCAGAGTTGAATTGTAAAACATTCCCTTCGATCCCGATTCTTTGTTACTGAAGAGTTCATGCCCTTTCGCCATCAGATCCTCATGCCCATTGATGGACAGCTTATTTTGTTCACACATCAAAGGGAAACTGAAATGGAAGTGGGATTCTTTAATTGCTTTTGCTTTGCAGTTTAGCTTTTTCACGCAGACAGTCGAATCAGCTGACTTCGGACAAATTTCCAATGTCAGATCATGTTTTTGACACAATGACACTGTCTTAATAGTTCTCCATCATTAATGACAGTCTCTGTGTTTGAGAAGTCATGAATTAGAAGCATGCTATGTGCAAGATGAAAGTAAAAAAATCAAAGAGAATATCAACAGAATCAGCTAAGTTTAGGGTAATTGGCTTCTTTTCCTGTGTGAAATATAATAGTTATTATCAGACATTTCCTTAAGATGAATCATCTAAGTTCAGTAGATATAAAATGACTGACCCTTGGCCTCTAATTCTAGCTATTTTTTGGTATTCATTTACCAGCAGGGTAATGTTTTTCCTCTCACTTACCTTAAGTCTGACTCTTGCACCATCTATTTGTGGCAGAGAGAAATATAAATCCCAAGAGGTATCCCTTTGTCCTTCTGACTTTGGAAGTGTTGTTTAACCCTTTTGTGTTGATAAGCTTTCAGGGTCAAATGGGATGCCTGTTGGGACTTAAGGACAGGACAAAGCAGTGCTCCTTAAGCTCTGGGGCAATTAAGCACAGTTAATATTTCCTCCTTTTTTACTGCACGTGGGTGAGTCTATTGACCTGTGACCAAATCCGTGTGTCCGTTCTGTTCCACCACGTCCATTTTACAAGTATGGTCAAATGAAGCCCTTCAGCAGACTTCACCATCTTGGCAAATTTAGAATATATTGAGTATAAGCAGAAATGTCATTAGCCCATAAAGCCCTGGGTTACTGAGACCCGTTCATTGTAGGAGATTAGATTTTGAAGCTCCTGCTGAATTAGATATTTGGATATGGATCCCAGCAAGCACAGGCTTTAGCTGATACATGTCTTTTTGCTGATTTGGAATAATATTCCACTACAGTAGAGAAATGTTAGTGTTACTGATTATCAAATGCAGATAAAATGAGTGGGCAGTTCCACTTTTATGGCAGGACAACCACACTGGGACTAAATAATCTGCTAACTATTGCCTGTAAATTATTTTATGTGTTTATGATGAGTTGTAGTAGTAGCTATTACTGCTTGGTGCATGCACTGTTTAAGCCAAGCTAATAGATTTACCCTGTGCTGCTGTGTTGTCTTTAATTACTGTATCTCATGACACAGAGGTGGTCTGTGTGTTGCTATTTGCATAGCTTACTGCCGGATCACCTCTCTAAGCCAGGAGTTGTTATTTGCTCCCTGGTCTCCTTGTGATTTACAGCTGGACCAGGAAAAAAGAAAATAATAAAACAGTTTTTTATTTCCTTTTTTAAATTTATTTTTTTTGCTTGTCCGTTCGCTTTCTCACGTGTCTGCATGGATGGTGTTTGTGTCTGCAGATCATCGATCAGCAGCAAGTTTGACTGAGAGGCACACATTTATCTAACTCTGATTTATTTCACTCGCTCTGCTAATGGCTCCTGGTTTATGATCCCATGCGCAAATTGTTTTGGACAGATGGCGCTTTATTGGTGAAACAGAAGTTTTTCCAGCATTGTCTAACATCCGTTCTCCTTTTCTCTAGTCTCCTTTTTTAATTGGCACAATGCATATATGTTTCACCTTAGGTTCTGAGAAGATAAAGAGAGGGGAAAACAGTTGATGGGGGGTGAATGCTCACAATCACATCTCAATAATAAATGTGATCGTAACCATTTGGCTCTTGCATTCCAAACACACTAAGTTATTTCCAACACTTACACATTTTTGTGTCAGGATTCCGCAAGTTCTTTGCCAAGATGTCTATCTCGTGCATATTCTAACACTGGATTTGATACTAATAGCTGTCATTTGGTGGAATTCACTGGCAAGAGGAGAATGATGTGCCTTATAAGAATGGCAAAGACGAGGGGAGAGCGTAGGTGTTTCAAAGTGTCTGAGTTTGACTCTAGTGAGAGACTGTTAGTGACAAGTGTGCCTCTGTGTGTTGGCACATTTGTTGCGTGTGAGAAAGAAACAGGGTAAGATGAAGAGTGACTGAAAGGGGGAAATGGAGATTGATCCAGGGAAGATAGCAGACACAAAAATATAAAAGAGTGGAACAGAAGACTAAAACCAAGGAAGAAGGAGAAGAAAGAAGATGAGGAAGGGGAGGATAAGAGTAATGGTGTTGGCTGTTTGTGCGAGTGCATTAACAATGCTATAAAGTGGGCTCATCTCAGGACTTCCCATATAACTGCCATCTGTCTGGTTATAAATCTGTAGGAGGCAAGGGAAGAGATGGAGGGATGGGGGGAACAAGCAGTAGGGACATGCCGTCTGAGAAGAGAGTCAGCCCAATCACCAGTTCTTCCTATGCATCCATGACATAGCCAACATCGTTCCACGGTAACCTCATTAGGCATGCCAAAATACACATGATGCTCCAACTAAAAGTGCAGATGTTGCTGCATAAATCTCAAAACATCCACAGGATAATGTTAGTGACGGCTCTTTTCCAACAATTAAAAGCCCGCTAGAACTAGTCCCTATCCAGGACTCAAGCGGACATGATACACTTACTTTTTTCGTTTTCCATGAAATTCATTATGTTCATCCCTTGCAGGGATGTGTGTTGTGTGTGTGTTTTTTAATGGATCTTTTCAAGGTCAGAGGGAGGAGAATGGCAAGTCATCCATATTACAGCACAGCTATATTAAGTTACACCAAGCATTACATTAATCTGTCAAGATTGCAATAAAATCGGATTAGGCCAAGTGAAAGTGAATATTTTAATCAGGCATGTATCCGTGTCCGCTGTCCATAAACTGACCTGGGAGTTTATAGATGAGTGAAGGGAGAAAAGAGATATGGGGTATACTTGGGGGGGTGGCATTATTCTATTTCTTTTTAATGCTCTCACCCAAACTCTGTCTCTTCCTCCCTTTGCAGGTCTGACACCACCTACCACGCCCCCACACAAAGCCAGTCAAGAGAATCTTTTCAAAGCATCTCTCAAAACCAAGTTGTCCCCATGTTCCTCCTCAGCCTTGACATACAAAAGAGCCAGGCTGAGTGAGTTGGGCACCGGCGCTGTGGCCCCGGCCCCAGGTGCCTCAGCAAGAGGCCCCAACAGAAAGGGTCCTGAACAGACTGAGCTTTATGCGCAGCTGAGCAAAGTATCCAGCACCCTCCCTCGTGCCGTCACTCAAAATGCAGTGGGGGGCGGCTTTGAGGAGCATCACAGCACTTGCAATAATAAGCGAGCCACTTCCCGTGGTCACAGCGACCATGACTATTGCCAGGCATCGGCTTGTACTAAAAAGGATGGGGGCACAGCTGCCGTTACCATAACTACAGCTGTGGAAATGACATTCACCCCAGGTGCTTCTGCTGCTCCGTTACCCAATGCTCGCAAAGTGGAGAATGGGCAAGTAGAATGTAAGGACTCAGCCATGTCATCATCGTCATCATTTTATTCTCCATCATCACCTTCATCCGGCCCTTTGACGAAGCTACCAAGTTTTGTCTCTGCGGTTGGAGAAAAATGCTGTGTCAGCGGTTTAGGAGAGCAGACCCTCACTCAAACCACTCAGATCCCCACACAAGGGGCCACTGCTGTTAGGGACCAAACACAACTTTCTGCAACCAGCCGGAAGCCCCTATGTGACCAGGAAATCAGAGCAGAACTCAACAAACACTTTGGCCACCCACTGCAAGCCCTCTACAGTCAGGGTGGCCAGGAGAGAGAACAAAGCAGCAAGCCAAATAAGGCTACAGCCCCCGAGTCCCTCGAGGAAGGACAGAATGACTACTACTCCCAAAGGCTGCTGCCTGGCTCCAGCTTCCTACACCCAGGGTTTCTACCCTTTCATGACGAGCTGGAGCTGGGCCAAGGCCGAGAGAGTCGCTTTGTCTATCCCTGGGAGGGCACCGCTCTGGACCTACTCTTTGACTGCTCTCCTTGCTCCCCTTCCAGTTCTCCACCTTCCAGCTGCTCCCCTTCACGATGCTCCGTCTCCCCACCCTCCTCCCTCCTCCTGTCACCCAGCAGACCTTTCTGCTGGACCAGCAGCGGTTCCCGCTCCCGTTCTCGTTCTCACTCTGGCTCCCGCAGTTCCTCATCTCGATATCGCAGGCGCTCTCTGTCCAGCTCACCTGACAGACGCCAGTCCTCATGGTGAGTATTCTCTTTTTATGTTTAGTACATCTCATATACACATCTTTTCTTTTAAATCTTTAGTGGCACACCGCATTGACATCCTCTGCTCATACCTCTAGCCTACTCCAAGCCTTCACCTTGTCCCTTTGAAGCCTGAGGGATACAATATTTTGTTCCCCAAAGAGTACATATATTCTCAGCTCAAGACCTTTTACACCTGATGAGATTCTAACCTTATTGTGTGGAGCTGCTCTAATTACCACATTAATCCGTTAAAACGATTGGCCCTTAGAGCTGATCTGACAAAAGGGAAAAGAATCAGCTCAAAGGTCCGGGCACCCAAAACCAACAAAAGATGGGCAAAAAAATAAATAAATACCAGAACATGAAAGGTGCCACAGGCACTGGACGTTTGAACAGTGAGTTTCATCTCCAGGCATGGAGTTTTATTTGAGTGTCTCTTTAACAATCCCTCTTTACTTGCTCCCTCACATACTACTTTTTTTTCCCTTTTTGATGCCGGGGATATTGTTTTAAGCAGCAGCTGTTATTTTTACTGAGTGGCAAAACCCCTCCTCTTTTACATCCCCAGAGATGAAAGCCAAATCAGTCTGTGGAGTGTAGTCTCAAAACCCTATCATCATAGCCCTCTGTGAGAACTACATTTCCCATGCTTCCCTTTGATCAGAGTCAAGAGACTTTTTGTGATTTGTTTTGTTTTGTTTTTTCTTTTGTTATTGAAATGCAGACTCAGAAACTAGTTACAAAGAATGATGTGAATAAATTGTGTTTGTCAGTTGGAGTTTATTGAGTGCCGCACAGAGCAGGTCTCCAGTGCAGTGATTCATTTTGTTTGCATGATGACTGAAAGGTCAGTTTACTACGCAGAGCCAATAGAATCACTTCATGTCATTCAGACCCCTTGCTCTTTACTCTACACCAACTTGTTCACATATTATACAGTAATATTCTCAAGACACTCAATCAAAATCTGACACCGACAAGCTTTTTGAAAATACCAGATCGGGTATGGATTTTCCACAAAAAGAAAGAAGTAATGCAAGAAAAGAAAACAAAACTTCAGCTGAATAATTTTGAAAAGCACTCGTCCTTATTTAAAGTTTATACTGCATTCAATCCTCAGTCTTTCTAAACTGGCATTCCTTTGCTTCACTGAGCTTCCAAACTTCTCTCTTTCCATTATTCAGGTCTTCCTTCTTCAGCAACACTTCAATAATTGAGCATCAGAAGTTGAGGAAGTGCAGGGGTACAAGCACTGCAGTCAGGCCACCAGGGCTTAAACTATTGACCACTTCTTTATACAACATAGATAAAAGGAACATGCTTATATCAGGTCAGGTGTGTAAAAGAAAAGAAAAAGATACAGGAATGAACTGCAAATATTTCCTGTAGACTTGAATTAGATGTGGAAAATGTTGCAAAGAATTTAACCACAAGATAAATCTTTTAATGCCTGGTGTGAAAATGTGGTTCTTTGTGGCAACAAATCAATCAAGATGTCAAAACTATGACTGAGTCAGGGAACTGTACCTTGGTGTTTTCTAATTCTAGCTGCTAAAATATGTAATTTTTGTAACATTTTGTTTTTCCTTCAGGTCTCGTCACAGCACCGATTTAAATGCTTTTCGCTCCAGAACCCACAAGAGCCCCCGTCCTCAGTCTCGATCTCCTCTCAGCCGCAGGCCAAGGTAATTTTTTTTATTATAATGAATTATTTAATTTCCTGCTTACTTTGCATTGTTAACATTTATTTAAGTATATATTTTAGGTAAGAACAGGTGCTTTTTCTTCTATGAGACACTTTGACAGATTTTTTTGGTAGTAAGTAAAACAAGGAATAACAAAGACAGTGGAATTTAATTTTTGGCTCTCTCAACCTGGAAAAAGTTAGATTTCTTAGTGATTTCCTTTTCACAGCCAGCACTTTGAACTGATCATGTTTTCGGGGAGTCGTGAAAAAGAATCACAAGTCATGCTACGGCAAAGTCCCACTGCATTCGTGACTATCAGCTTAAAAATGATGCTATTCAACATGGTGCATCTGTACTTTTCCATGAACTGCTGCAGAGGGGGACTGTTTCATATGCAGAGAAAGCATTGGCTCAGACTGACACCATCTCAGCCCTCCGAGCTGATTTGGCACCCACGTGCCTAATGACACCAGACAAGCCCGAAAGTCGCTCATCAGTGGAAAACTTAGCGGACGCGTCTTGTGCTGGTCCAGGGTGGGAGAGAAAGTAGCACTTTCCTTCTTGATGAAGCCCTAACTAAGCAGAAAGTAATGACATGTGAAGTTGTGCTGACAGTTGCAGCTGCCTGGCTCCCCGACTGCGCTGTTCGCCGGCACCCCCGCGGGCCTATCCTGCAGGCTTCGCAATCATAGCAATGGTGAAAAGACATCCTATTAAGGTGTTCGTCTCCCTTGTTTTGCAACCAACTTCTCAGCCATCAGTGCGCTGGTCGTTGGTGGATTCCAGAAATTGCTCTTCATAAGCATTGACATGAACCGTTCATGTAGGGAATGGGGGGAGAAGGGTCCCTCATTTCATAGAGAATCTTCTCCTCTACAGGTATGACAGCTACGAGGAGTACCAGCATGAGAGGCTGAAGAGGGAAGAATACCGCCTGGATTACGAGAAACGGGAGTTTGAAAGGGCTGAGCAGAGAGAGAAGCGAAGGCAAAAAGCAATTGTGAGTTAAACAGCAAGTCATATTTCTCTATTGTTGTTGTTTTGTTTTTTTTCTCCTGATGCTTGACTTGGCTTCATATTCCTCCACCAACACTGATAAAAGACCACATGCAATCACTGCTGTGGCACAGCCCACAAAAACCTCCCATAGACACACAGATTATTTAGTCTGAGGCAGCCTGTAGCCCCTTGCCCTGTGCCAGAGGATTTCTCTGCTGAAAGAACACATACAAAGTGAGTTCCTGAATGATTCAGGCGACAGGCTCTTCCTCTTTATCTCTGGGTTGTGTATTTTTAACATCTTCGTCATCTAGAAACACCATGGACTCTTATTAATCACACCACAGGGATGGAATTTTAAAACATATGAGGAAATAGGAACTAGCAGACCAGGGAGAAGGGAGGGGAAAATGTATATGGCCGCTGGTTCTGGTGAGAATATTCTCTTTTTTTGTAACCGTTTCAAAATTCTGCCTTAATCAGTGAATATCTCATTTCTCCCTTATCTCCACTTTCCTTGTCTCAGTGGGGAATTACTCGGGTTTCCAGTGGGGCAACACAGTTCCAGCCTGTTGATAAAGCACACATTAAATGATGCAGTAATGTAAACGTTGCTTGGCTCAGATGCGTTTTCAGAGACGGATAGACAAACAAGTATGAGCAGTGAAGCTCAAGCTGTCAAACAACGTTTGGGAGGCCAAAGTGTCTGTGTGCGTGTACGAGTGTGCCTCGCTTGCTCTGTTTTTGCCTCATTCTTTCACTCATTCACAGACACATGCACACATAAGCAACCCTCAGGGTGCCATCAAGAAAAGACCACCTATTTATCAGCTGTCAGCAACAAAACCCCTAATTCAGCAAACACTTTTGTGGTCTCAAACATTATGTAAAAATACAGGAATAAGCAGAATAGTAATCTGTGGTTAATTTGTACATTTTCAACTATGAGTCAAATGTTCAAAGGTGAACTTTGAGTTTAGCACAAGGCAACTGATTTACATATATTCTCAAGACAGCATTTAAAATGGCAACAGGCCTCAATGGACTTGCCGTAGTAATAGCAACTAAATGAATGAATAAATAAATAAAACTAGTGATACATTATAGCCCCAGGACTCAACTGTATTATATGATTAGCAGATGCAATTAAACTCCTCAAAAGCTATAATTGCAGCCTGGCGCATTTTGTTCCCAAATTATTTCACCATGACCCCCCCGTCCTCTGAGGTTCATAGAAATCAATGTTTTTCTGCCTCGTGGCCTAATGCAGCTGCTCTTAATATTTCCTCGCTCTTGGGTAATGTTCTTTTAATATTAACAAACCTCTCATTTACCAATGAAATTGTCTGTGTAACTCCATAGCTGGAAAAAAACATAAGAGTGAGACTTTTCTGATTTAAAACTGAATCACGTCACAGCTTTATTTTCCACAACTTAGGAGAAGGGGAAGCAGCCGGAAACTTAAGACATGACATCATTTGATAAAAATCTCTCTGCTTTTTGTTGATGAGGTGAAGAGAGAAAGAGGAATTGTAGTGTCAAGGTAGATTGAAGGCACTTTCAAACTGCAGCTCCATCAGATAAGAGGGAGAAAGCTGAACCAATCACAGCGGAACACAAACAGACAAAAACAGGAGGCCCAAAGTCAGTGGCAGTATCCACAGGAGTGATCAAGACCAATTCATTAAAGGCTGCTGAAGAAAGAACGGGGAAAAGGGACAAACACTCCCTCTTTTAATCTCTTTCCCCGGCTCTGTCTTTCCTCTTAACGAGCAGGAGGAAAGACGGGTGCTGTACGTGGGGCGACTGAGGTCCAACTGCACCCGCACGGAGTTAAAGGGCCGCTTTGAAGTCTTTGGCGAAATTGAAGAATGTGCAGTGAACCTGAGGGATGATGGGTAAGGCCCCAGGTCTTTCTCTGCATGTTGGTGTGCCTCTTTACGATGGCCAGTGTTACTGTACGGTGGATGGGAAGCGTCAGTTTTGAGTTTTTCTAATCTCTTGATGGTGTTGGACAAAACCCTCTCCTCTAACAACTAAACTTTGAAAAAGGTGACAAAGACAGAGCTTCTGTAGTTTGATAGCGTCCCCTGATTCATCTATTTCTACGCCCACAGAGCCCCAAAGATACACCTTTATTGATTCTCTTTTGCATATAAATAGCATGATCGTCATCTAAGACAGGGCTCTCTGTTGAGTCATTGTTACCCCACAGCAACACTGATGTGTCATTTTCTATTCTTAACCAGGGACAATTTTGGCTTCATCACGTACCGCTACACTTGTGACGCCTTTGCCGCCCTTGAGAATGGACACACCTTACGCAGGTCAAACGAGCCCGAGTTCGAGCTGTGCTTTGGCGGACAAAAGCCGTTCGGCAAATCACATTACACAGACCTGGGTAAGTGCAGCTTTGCTCCTTTCTCCATCAGCGCCATTCGGACAGCCGTCCGGTGAATTCACGCATCTTATAGACTGTCAGTAAGACGAGGGAGAAATTGGGGGTGTGGGATGAATAAGACAGCTAAAAGCCTTGAGTGATGCTTACAGATCAAAACATACCCATCTCTGTGCTGATAACGGTTTCCTTCAGCCCCGGATGTCTCCACAAGGTATCTGTGGCTCAAGATTGCAAAGTGAGAGTAGAGGTTGTTCTGAGTGCGCGAGCAGAGGAGAGTTCCATTCTCTCTGCTAGTAGCTGTGGTATCTTGAGGAAGAATGAGGCAAACTCTGCATCTCACATGAGATGCAGGTTTCTGCTTTTTTCATAATAAAAGGCAAGACAATTTAGGGCAATAAAGCACTCAAAAGCATGCACATCACACTGTCCAATATGTATTCTTATGTGGTAGTAGATGAGGTAAGAGAAAGAAGGTGGAAGCTGATTTTAGCAACCCCTTCTTGAGTTTGAGTTCATCTGTAGTTAACTGCTGGGGTTGCTGAGACGAGACAAAGCTTTGATGTCTCACAGTGAGGCCAGTCATCTTGGCAGCTTCTTTTGTAACCCACTACCTGCTGCCCATGCAAGCCCCCTGTCTTTCCTGGGATCGTGGAGGTTGAGGCAGACTGCAGTTGGGCAGAATTCACGTCTCCTCTCAAGTGTCCCCTGAGAGTAAACATGCATAGATTCTATATTGGTCAGTACATAAAGCTCAAACAGAAAGATATCTCAAAAGGATATCGAAAATATCTGAGCAATTCATTTGATAAATAATGCAAGCAGTCAGTGGGACTGAAGCTTTTGCCTCCAGTATGATGCTCCACTTTTGACATAGACAGTGAAGTGCTTTTTTCACAAAGTGACCAAAGGTTGTGAGGTATGATACATCATTATTTTAGATATTTGTACAGCCATAACAGATCATCTCTTCCATTTGATGATGATGACTGTGATACTTGCCTTTTAACAGCAATGTGTTTTGCAGGGAAATCTAAGCTGTAGAGCATCAGCAGGGTCAATGGGTCATATAAGAGAAAAAAAGCACTTTTCTAAATAAATGGAGAGGTTACCACACATTTTCAGAGCACATGCTTAAGCCATTAGCCTTTGAAAAGAGTACATGACACATAGAAACAGTTGCTAATCCTAAATCCTTGAGGAAAGACATTATACTGAGATTGACTAATCAGTCTCCTGAAATGGAAAGGCCTTCATTCGCCTGCCTCTTTGTCAGGAACAGGCTATTTCGGTCAACCCTTATATTGATAGTTCAGGATAAAAAGATTGAGAGGAGCATTTTCTAATGGTGGTGTATCCAAACCTCAGCCCATCCTTTTTTTCCCCTTTTTTTTGAGACACTGTCCATTAGTTTTAAGTAGAGCACCTGGGTATTTTTCATCCCTCAAGGTGTGCGGCGAGACACAATCCAGCCCTGGGCCATTGCATTAGATCACAACTGGCATCTCCGAGCTGCCATGGTCATTCCCATTTCTCAAAGCTCGTGGAGTGTGCTGCTGGGCCCTGTAGGAGCCCCATTTGTGAAGCTGTCTGTTGGCTCAGATAAGACACTCTACGTATTATCAGGTTGATCGAGAAAAAACATGAGCGATGAACTGACGGAAGGGTACAGTTTAATAATGGTTGCCGCTACTCATGTCTCATACTAAAAATGTCACAAATTCCTTAGTTTGAACTAAATTATCAATTTATGTACTCTCATTTAATATACTTTTTAGCAACTTCTTAGCAGTATGTGTCTTTCTGGATGCACTTCACCTTAACAACATTAAACTGTCTGCTGGCAAAATCTTTATTGTCAGTGTGATCGAGTCTTGGCCAAATATCCTATCCACAGAATAATTTGGCCTCAAAATCTTTCTGGCACGCTTTACTTTATTAGAAAATAGTTTTCAAAAACAAAATAAATAAAATGATATAAAAGATTATTTGAGATTTACTGTCCTAATTGTTTATTATCCACACATGCACCAGGAGAACATGTCGATTTCACACAGAAAAGCTCCAGCCTTTGCTCTGAAGTAGCAGTTTTAACCAACACATCACTGTGCAGCAATTGTGTTTACTACTATCTTTTAATGCCCTGTGATGGACCTGTCCAGGGTCTACCCCACCCCTCTCACAGTGTCAGCTGAGATAGTCCTTCTAGTAACAAGCTGTATAGAACATGTATAAATTACTTTTGAAATTATATGCATTTCTTATTCATTGTAGACTTAAATAGGACATGTTCTAAACTATATTTTCAACAATACTTTTTTAAAAGAAAAGATTTTGAAGCAGCATCAATGTCCATATTTTACACTAGGATACCGCTGCAGCAAGCAGTTATTGATTTACATGTTTTTTTTAACTATTTACAGCAGCCGGCCATGAAATTGTCTCATGGATAACCATTCACCCTTTAACTTTGACAAAAAATATACTTTAGGTTTTGCATTAACCTGGAATTTCAGTTGAGTTTTCATTGAACTATTTATGATTTTGAGAAACTTTAGCACCTCTGCTCTTACAGAAGCAGATAAGACAGGACGAATATATTTTTTAGTTAGCTGTTGAGGAAGCTTAACAGGATAGAAACTATCAGATTAAAGACTAAAGCTACACCTGACTGAGCAATAGCTGAGGTTTTTCCATGAAGTCCTCTAACAAGGTGAATTTGTTTTCTCATGCCTGTTTTCTACGAAGCACTGTTCTGATCACCATTAAACAAAACCCTTATTGCCCCCTCCCAGACTCCCATTCTGATGACTTTGATCCGGCCTCCACAAAAAGCAAGTATGACTCCATGGATTTTGACAGCTTGCTGAGGGAGGCCCAGTGCAGCTTGAGAAGGTAACCAGCTCAGTGGCGCCTGCTGTCTGTCACAAAGAGGGACTTCTTATACCTCACTGTTGTTTCTCGCTCCTTTGATGACGAGATAACCAGAAGTTTTACACTCTTTCATAGAGTATGTAAGAATAAGTCTATAGACCTTTATCATAATAAATGAATATATTAAAAACAAAGTTTACATGAACATAGCTGCTGAAGAGCTGGGAAGAGACGTTGCATTCTGGGAAAGTCAGTGACCCCTCAGAAATTGGTGCACAGCTTTGAGGAACTCTACTGCTGTACAACAATAAGTAAAAGATGAAACTGAAGAAGAACGAGAAAAAAAAAACATTTTCAATTTGTTTTTCTCCAAGCACTACAATACCCAGAATTCTTTTGGGGTGAAGACATGCTACGCAGCTTGTTCAACCAGATTTATTTTCTTTTGCTGTTGATTTTCTTTCCTTTTCTTTTTAAATCTGGTGTTTGGATCTGGTGTTACATTAAAGACAAGAGAACAGGTAATTGTATCTTAGAGATAAAATTCTCAAGGTAATATTGTTGTCTACATTATAAGGAGAAATGTAGCTGTGTATTTACAAATAATATAAAAAAGGAATATTTTTATTTCATGTACATATTGAAGTTCTTTATTTGTTACAGCTATGCACTGTAAAACGCAGCCTTTTTTAAAATGAAGAGAAAATTTCTTAATTCAGAATGTCAATCTGTAGTTATTACAATTATGTAAAACATATTGTACATCTACATGATGTTTAGAGACATGATATGATTGTAAAAAAGAGAAAAAAAAAGACATGTCCGAATGCTCATTTTGTGGGAGCATGTGAACAAATGTCCTTTTTTAAGTTATTTTGTTGGGGAAATGAACAGTCAGCCATGTATAGTTTTCTCTGTTTTTAAAGTTTCTCAATCAGTGTTTTTGCTTCTACAACCAGTGTAAAATGCATTTTTAACATGTTTTTCATTATTGTAACAAAAAAACACTGTTATATACCACTATTTTTAACTGCAGATACATGTATGTATATATATATATATATATATATATATATATATATGTGTGT